CGTCGCCCTGCCTGCGGGACGGGGCCGGGAACACCCCCCTCGACACCCTGCTCCAGCAGATTGCCCACGTGCCCGCAGCGAACATGCGTGCCAAGCTCCTCTGCCTCGACTGCCTCTTCTTCTTCGTGCCTCAGGAACTCCAGTTTGCAATGAAACAGCAACTGTTGGACAACCGGCAGCGGTGGCAGGACCTCCTGGGGGAGAACAGGTTTCAGTGCCTGGTGGGCTTGGCTCCCCCCTCCCTGTTTGTCAGAGCCATGCGTGTCTTGATTAGGACCATTTCACCTGAGCATTTCCCAGAGGCTCTGGACAATCTGCCTCTGCCTCATTTTCTAAAGCCTTTGGACCTGAAATTGGAGAGCTAGAGGGGTGACAGGAGAGCTTCCCGCTCACCGGACAGAAGTAGACTGTTGTGCTAAAAATGTATTCCTATATGAAGCTGCTAATGCAGTGGACAAATATCCGTTTTAATTAGAACTGTACTTTTAAAAAGAACTGTAACTGGCACTTTACAATATATTTTATTTAAAGACCCTTGTGGTGAGGTGAGGTCCGCACTGCATTTTATAGAAACATTCTATGGCATGTACAAATGAGGATATGTGGGAGAAGATATTTGTAAATATATTTGAATAAATCAGTGGCAGATGTCATCAAAATACAAACCGAGTGACTGAAACCCCTGAAGTGGCACGTGCCCTGGAAAAGCGTGCATGGGGTGTGTGTGGGGGGGCGTATCTTTTCATTAGGATTTCCCTGTTACATAAGCCTTGCAGTCCTGGAACAGGATGACTCCTTTTTTTACAGCTCTTCTAATTCATCTTGGCAGGGATGTGGGTTTTTTTTTTAAAGGCACAGATGAAAACTTTTGTCTTGTACACAACGCTGAAGAGAAGCTACATACTATGAAAACATCCCTAAACGAGGCTGTCAGGGATGTGCTGCTGAATAAATCATATTTTAAAATCTGCATAAATAACAAGTTGGTTTCCTTGCAAAGTTCTGTCTGTTCCCCTTGGAGAGCTTGTTGAGGTGCTTGTTGTCAGGCAGAGAAGAGTAGGAGTACGCACACTGCTCTGACCAAAAATGCTCCTGAGGTGCAGGAGGGAGGAATGGACCCTGCACCCCTCTGTGATGGGTGCAGTGAGCACCGTGCATGAGGGCCAACTGACTTGTGCCTGCCCTCTGCTATGCCCAGGGCCATTTATACAGGTATGGCAATGGCCCAGGACCCTAAAGTAGCTTTTTCTGGTGGATTTTGGCCCCTCCGTCACCAATCCCCAGGAGGATGTGAGGGCCTAGGTTCCACTGAGAGAGCTGGGGCAGTTTTGGTGTGCACTCTGGGTACCTGAGGAGTAGCTTAGATACCCAGCTATCCCTTCTGAGGTGTTCCAGGGTACAGAAAACACCTTCGCTGCTGCTCCAGATCAAAAGGCCTTTTAGGGATAAGGTCCTGACTCCAACACATGATTAGACACATCAAAGTCCTGAGCAAAGGGTACAGCTTCAGTTCTTTGCTCCGCAACCTTTACTCCACAGCACGCTGGGCAGCCTTCCCTGTAAAACTGGCACTGCCCCTGCCTGCTCTGTGGGGAGCGAGCTGCGCCGGCTCCACCAGCATTGCAATGATTGAAATCTCCTAGGCCACAGCACTGCAGCTTTGCCTCCGTTCTTGGAAGCCGTCAGTGAAACTGTAGGATTTTGTTTCAGTGCTTAAATTTGTAGCCGGGGGTTGTTTGCCACTTGAACTATTTCAGCACAGTTGTTCCCTTTGGGGTCATCAAGGCCCTGATGTGCTCAGAGGAGGCCATGTTCAAGGCACAAATTTCTTTATTTGTGAATTAATTTTGGTTAGGAAAAAAAGCACCAGAGAATGAGGCACTGTAAGCTGTTCATGCTTCTGCAGAACAGAGTGGTATTTAATCTAAAATAATCTCCAAACTGCACGCACAATGAACGATAAAATGTACTTCTGAAATCTGAGATGCAACAGCAAGAAGATTGCTATTCTTAGACTGATGGCACTGAAAATGTTTCCTAGAAGAGCAAATGTTCCTTTTTCCCAAGAAACGAAGCTTATAGATGCTCCAAGTAATTACCATGAGAAATTTACTTCCCTTGCTAGAAAACATAGAACACTTATAAAGGTTCTCTTCAGTTACCTTGTAAACAATAAAAATACAGAAATCTAAAGAAATAATTCCTCACTTGACTACTTAAAAAAAAAAAGAAAAATCTGTGTTGCTAAATTCTTGAGTAAATGTTCCCCATTGCTTCTGTAGTAATGGCGTGGAAGCACCTTCCAAAATGGACAAGAAGTAAAGCAATCAGGTCTAACTTGCACGTGGAAAAGTTTTCCAAGCTGGGGGAAGAGACAGAGCTGGGGGTTGGAGGAAAGGTTTATCAGCCTTGCTGACAAAGACATCATGGGATTCAGCAGTAAGGAGTTGGTCAGTTGAACTGAGCGCTGGAAGACGCTCCTGCTCCCAAGCTGTGAGGGTAATTACACGTTGGAACAGCATGACAGGCTGGGCAGGACATCCTGCACCTTCAAATGAGCCCGCTAACAAAAGAAGAATTCAAGGCCAAAGCTGCCTCTGTGATTCTCTACAGCCCTCCCACCAGCTCTTGGGTAACTCACTCCAGCAGATAGAAAGGGTCCCTTCATGCGTTGTGATGAATCCAAAGTCAGCTAACTGCTGTGCCCCCCTGTTATTCTAGGACAGAAGTCAAGCCTGTTGCTGAGCCCATGCTGGGATTACTCTGCTAAAGGTCCTTGATGGACCTCACTGTGTGTGGCTTGTTGGTATGTCTGAGCTGCTTAATCTGGAGAGGCCAAGAGGAACTGCAAGCAAACTACACCCATGACTACACAGATTACTCACCCAACTGGGTCCAGGCTTGTTTTTCAAATACAGTCACATCTTGGAAAAAGGCTGGGGCTTCTCAGCTTTGGAAACAGAAGTCCTTTGTTTATAGAGCAAGCAACAGTGGCATCAGCTTTCCTCAGACTGACTTGCCAGCATGTCTCTGTCCTCTGGCACCTTTGGAGCACAGTGGAGTGCAGACTTCACAGCCCATTCAGTTCTCCATCTCCTGGCGAAGGCTGCCAGCAAAAATGCCAGTTAGTGCCAGTTGCAACACCATTGCCAAGCTTAATAATGCAAACGTGGACAGCCTTTATGTCTCTGCAGAAGAGGACTGCCAGTCCTAGAGTCAGAGAGCTGGCCACAATGGTGCGGGAAAGAAGATTCAGCAAGTCCTAACACCACAAGAGCACAGGGGTAAGGATGAGTACTTAAAAGCCTCTGTCTCACCTGCACAGGTTAATCTAGTCACAAAAGGCAAATTACTCATCTGTAGGAAATGCTTTCAAAAGCATACAAGGCAGTACAGAGAGCCAGCATTCCTGAAAAGCTTGGTTAAAGCCAGTTCCTCTAGCAAACTACTTCCTATCATGAAAAAGTGATGAAATATAATAAATGTTTTCCATGTATTGCTCAAGCACTTTCAAACCAAAATATTCTACTCACAGTCTAGGACAAAGTGAGTTTATTTGCTGTGACAGGTGAAAAAGGCCAGAAAGACTTTCCTTGGAAAGCAAGAGGAAGAGAAGTACCACCAGCTTACTTTTATTTTTGACTCTCTGCAATTGACTCTTCTCTGCATCTCCCTTAAATATTTTGGAGTCACAAAGTTTATCCTGTCTAGAGTCTGCTGATGGAGCTGAAGTCTATTGTAATTTTGAGTAACAAATTTAAAAGATGGATTTGGGATCTTAAACAGCCTTCTTCTACCCAAAATATTAAGTAATTGAAGAACTTAAATTGACATGAAAACAAAACTAGGTGGTTTATATAGTCTAAAAAAATCCCTTACTGTAACATTTGTCTCAATCTTGCTCTCTGACATATGGTCCTGCCACAAAAGCTGCATCCTTGTTCTTGCCATGGTCACAGCCTGGGGTGAGCACTGCCAGAGGTGGGCACCCTAAATTTTGCAGAAGGTGCAGACAGTAAGCACACCTGAAAATCACTCACTTCATGAATATGCTTAACATTCAGCACCACACAAGCGTATCTGCTGTGAAAGGGTAAGGGCTTCAGAGGGAGAGAAATGGGGCTGTTAAAGAACATGCTCCTCTGTGGACAAGTGCTGCAAACTAAGGCAGGCATTCAGCAAAGGAAAAAGGAAGAGAGCAAGACCTGCCAGGAGAGGAGGCCTTGGCTATAGCTAGGGCTGCAATTACAGGCTGGTTTGAAAATGAAGTTGGAAATAGCCAGGACAAAGAGCCAGCACAGAGGCATGAAAAGACAGAGACTAGAAACAGGCCAGGGTGCCAAGTTCATTTCCTAATCCCTATTTGTCCTCTGTCTGGTGTTCAAGTCATATGGGTTTTTGATTTGCAGTATAATGAATCTATTTGCATCAGCACATCACTGTGCATTGCATCACCCCATCTTCAGATCGATGCTCCCAACAAAGGCAAACAAGGCACCCAGGCCATGTGCCTAATATTTAAACAGCACTGTAAATCCTTGCAAACCAGCTTTCATAACACCTATGCTAATAACAGCACTCCCATCACTGGCTGGTGTCAGCACCTGTCTGAGGTTAGATCACCATTAATTCCAAGCATGGCTTCAGTGATCTTTACCTACCATGAGTGAAAAAAAAAACTCTGCCTATTACTTGCTCAGACCACGTCAAACCATCCTCTTTTACCATACAAAAGAACCACATCTATGGTGTTGCAAGGCTGCTGCTTGCACTGATTTACTCCCCATCTTGCCACCAAGCAGATACATGTGCACGTGTAGCACAAGAATGAAAGGGGCAGAGGTCTCTTGCAAAACTTAACTTAGCAGTCATAGCAGAAAACAAAAATACAGTTTGCAAAAGCACCAGAGACCCCTTACTACTGCTAAAAGAAACAGATCCAAGTTCATCTGGGATTAAAAAGGTTCCTCCACTCGCCCTGATGACCTCTGGAAGGACCGGTATCTCTTTGCTTAGTGGCTTTGTTGATAAGTGGAAAGACCATGTAAGTCAAAAAAGCAATTCTTTAGAAGCCTCAGATGATGAGAAACTCATCAAGTTTAGGAATTACTGCTCAAGTCATAAGAGTCTAAACTGTGTATGACACAGGCCAGCAGTTCCCATGTTGGGCCCAGCACATCTGATTAACTTGCAGCATCTACTTGAAGTCCAACCTTATTTTAGAGATTTTTAATCAGGGAAGCATCTAAGGCTGAGGAACCTGTGGCTGAGCCAAGCAAAGGTTACATCCACACCACCTCAATCTCTCATCTGTCTCTAAACCACATAATATCCCCTGCCATCAACTCTGCCTCTTTCTTCCATA